CGGACTATGATTCACATAGAGCTTTTGGGGATGAAGAGGAGGTTAGACAGGGGTTGTCAGCTGACCTAAGAAGGTTGTTGGGTGGACCGAGGATCCCAGCATTTGACGGCAGTGGGAAAGATTTCAAAAACTGGCTGGCAATCCTGGAGAAGAGCCGAGTTATTTATGAACTCACAGACCACGAAACCCTGTATCTGGCATACGATTCCATAAAGGGGAAAGCCTCTGAGTTTATGAAGGAGCTCTTGGAGAGTCAACCCCACCTGTCTTGGGAAAGATTAAAGGGACTATTGACCAAGGAATTCGCCGACGAAGGCACGGCTATAGAGGCCATGAGGGCCCTCCTAAAGCTGAAACAGCTGCGGGACGAAACCCCTGGAGAATTGGGGGCCCGAGCAGGGTGGCTGTCATCATTGGCCTTCCCAGAAGTGGTTAGAGACAATGCGGTCATGCAGCTCAACTAGCAGACCTGTATGTGGAGGCGCTATGTGACGAGCGTGTTCGTCACGACGTGCTGAAAGAGGGACCGCTGAGGCTATCGGCAGCAATAGAACTGGCCAAGGAGAGCCAGGGCGTATGGGAAAAGGTGAAAAGGTGGAAGGAAACAAATACTAAGTCAAGAGGTCGGAAGAAGGGGAAGGCGGAAGACCCCCCGCGTGGAATCGGAAGGTCAAGCTAGAAGTAGATCAGCCTGAGGTGTGGGAAGAAGACCCCAATAGAAAGGCATGGTCAACCAGGCATGGGTTTTATAAGCCCACGCCGGGTAGATACGGCTGGTCTGCTGAACCTGTGGGCATGAGGACCACAGAGCGGCGGAATGTCCGACGAAGTGGGGTTTGCCCCAGACTTCGAACAGGACAGGTGCACCAGGTGTGGAAAGAAAGGACACCTGGCCAAGTGGTGCGGGTTGAGAAAAGGTGCCCCACCGATATTAACAAAGAAGGCCGAGCCCAAGAGACAGGACCAGGAAAAAGCCAGCGGGCCACCCCGGAATTAAGAGGGAGGGTGGCCCAGTTAATAAGAAGGGAAATAAAAGCTTGGACCAGTGGTCGGGCGGGCCGGTTGGGTAGAGGACAGGTCCCTCCGGGAGTAAACGGGAGGTTAGCCCAGTTGAAGAGAAAAAGAGTAAAATGTTGGACATATGGTCAGGTGGGCCACTTTGCAGTGAACTGTCCGGCAAGAAGGTGCTGGTTTTGTGGGAGACCAGGGCACCTGAAGAGAAGCTGTATCCTTAGAAACAGCCGCGGGAGACTGGGAGAGGTCCAGCCGGGGCCGCCCAGGTGCGGGGAGCGCAGAACTCCCCCTCGTAAGAATAATGAAGGTGATTTATTGCTACCGGCGCCTATGGCTGGGAGGTGGGAACCCAGGAAGAGGAAAGCCCAAGTGTTCTCTTCGCTGACGCAAGGAGCTATCCTGTAGAGCAGAGATAGCGGGTAAGGCGATGAAAGCTCTGGTAGACACAGGAGCATTTGTGTCATTGCTGAGAGAGGAAGCATACAGGCGGGTGAAACGGAAGAGTAGGTTACGGGAAGCGGACATAGAGGTCACGCAAGCAGATGGAGCCCCCTGAAGATAAATGGGATGGTGAGGCTTCCGGTGAGGATTGGGAAATTAAGAAGCACCCAAAATTTTTACGTAACCCCCGACCTGTGTACGGAGGCAATCTTGGGAGAAGATTGGCTCCGGATCCAGAGGGCCCAGATAGAGTTCAACCCCGCTGTGTTGATAGTGAATGGCGAGAGAACGCGATTGGGATGCCCACCAGAAGAAGATATAACAATAGTGGTGGAGGAAGAACGGCGGTGTCGGGAAAGGGTAGGTTAATGTCAGGGAAGAAAATAGGAAAAGGACCCCTGCAGTTGGTCCCTGTAGAAGGGAAAGGCCTAGAAGAGAATGAGGTAACTCTGTGTGAGACGGTGGTGGAGGCAGCTGAATTAGTGCCCATTATGATGGTGAACCAGGCCCAAAAGACTATAAAGTTTAGGGAGAGGGGAAGAGATAGGGAAAGCGCTTCCCCTACGGACTCTGAATCGGGTGAGATTCGAAGAGGAACGAAGAAAACTAGTAGAGCAAACAGAAGGAATAGTGGACGAAGATATATTAGCACCGGATCAATTTAGAACCAGAGTGGGGGGTCTGCTGAGGAATAATCGAGATGTGGTAGCCCAGTCAGACAAGGAATTGGGCCAGACCCACACAGTCAAAATGAAAATCGACACCGGAGATCACCCCCCTGTGAAATTAAAACCCTACCGGACACCTATTCATAAAAGACCCCTTTTGTAGAAGAGGCAGTAGAAGAGATGTTGGAAGCTGGGATGATCGAAAGATCGATCTCCCCTTGGAGCTTTCCAGTAGTAATAGTGGGTAAGAAAGATGGCGGGCACCGTTTTTGTGTAGATTTTAGGAAATTGAATTCTATAAGCCGTTGGTGGTGCCATTGCCACTAATAGATGACATATTGGCATTATTAGGGAAGGCAAAGTACTTATCTACGTTGGACTTGAGGTCCGGGTATTGGCAGGTATCCCTTGATGAGGCTGACAAGGAGAAGGCCGCATTTGCGTGTCACCTAGGACAGTTCCAGTTCAGGGTGATGCCATTCGGTTTAGCTAATGCCCCGGGAATCTTCCAACAGCTAATGTCAATAGTGTTAGGAGGATACGAGAGCTTTGCCATGATATCTTAATATTTTCGGAGACAGTAGAACAACACTTTTTCCATCTAAAACAAGTGTTGGGAAGGTTAAGAAAACACGGCTTAAAATTAAAATTGTCGAAGTGTCAGATTCTGAAGAATGAGACCAGATATTTGGGCTTTGTTGTAAACGGAGACGGTATTAAACGCGACATAGATAAGGTGAAAGTCATAAGAGAAATGTCAGAACATAAGACAGTGAGACAGGTAAGAGGTTTTATAGGAGCTATAGTTTACTACAGACGCTTCGTCCCGGCATTTTCGAGAATTGCCATACCACTAGTAGCCCTGACGAAGAAATACGCTAGGTTCAAGTGGACAGAGGACTGTCAACGGGCATTTGATACGTTAAAGGAACAGTTGACCGCCGTCCCACTGCTGACGTACCCAGACCTCAGCAAGCCCATGGTACTATACACTGATGCCAGTGAGCAGTGTGTAGAAGCAGTTCTTACCCAGCCGTGAAGGACCAGTGCCAGGCATACCAGAGGAAGTACCGATATACTTCCTCTTTCATAAGCTCTCAGAGACACAACAGAGATGGCCAGTAATAGAAAGAGAAGCATATGCCATCATGCTCTCCAAAAACTGAACTATGACTTGAATGGTGCGGTCTTTACTTTAAAAACAGACCACAAGCCTCTGCAGGACCTATTGCAGGCAGAATGGACAAATAATAAGAGGATTCAACAAAGGGCACTTAAGTTAAGTGGATACCACTGTAAGATAGAGTATTTGGCAGGGAAAGAAAACACGTGCGCAGATTTACGCTCAAGAATACCGAAACAACTGGAAGAAAGATCTGTAAAAGTAGAGCAGGGAGTAGATGATAAAGCCTATAGAATAGGAGTAATTAACTCTAATAAGCTAAAAGGTCGCCCTATGTTAGAATCGGACGAAGAAGGGGACACACAGATAATAACCGATCCCTACTGGACAGAAGGAATTGAGAAGGAGAAGGCAGACAGTGAAATAGCTGCCCTGAGAGAAAAGGTGAAGGCAGGAGAGACCACCAAGTATGCCATAATAGAGGAAAGGCTCTATTATCTCTCAGGCAGGGATGAAGAAGTCAAGCCCAAGTTGTATGTGCCCAAAAGTTTAAGACCAGAGATATTGGAACAGTGCCACGAGAGGTTGGGTCCCATGGGAATTGATAGGACATGTGATCTAATAGGAAGAAAGTACTATTGGCCCAAACTGTACGGAGAGGTCACTAACTATGTTCGGAGCTGCGTAGTGTGCCAGTCGCAGAGCAGAAGGCAGGAAATGGCACCATTGGAGGAGACGGACGTGCCGAACTTCCCCTTCGAGAAAGTGAGTATGGATGTATCAGGACCATATGGGGAAACTGCACAAGGAAACAACTACATAGTAAGTTTTGTCGATTGGCTAACAAATTGGCCTGAGGCATTTGCAGTACCAGACAAGAAAGCTAGAACTGTGGCCGGATTGATAATAAGTGAAATCTTCCCTAGGTATGGCGCCCCTGTGAAATTTGTAACAGATAATGGCACGGAGAATATAAACAGCATAATGAGAGAAGTTCTGACAGCTTTGAATATAGAGCACGTAAAAACATCTCCATATCACCCCCAAGGAAATGCTAAAGTGGAAAGGTTTCATAGAACCTTGGGAGATGTATTGGCCAAGCTGGACAGAGAGAACACTGGAAATTTGGACTTGTATTTGACGCAGGCTCTGGCGGCCGTGAGGTTTACGATAAACGAAACCTCCAGATTTTCTCCTTACTTTATGTTGTTTGGCAGAGATGTGGTCCTGCCCGTGGATAACCTATTGAAGCCCCGAAGAAAGTATATGGGAGAAGATCATCATCAGCTGGAACAACAACATAAAATATTTGTACAGGCCAGAAGATGAATAGAGAATTTATTAATGTATACTTAATAGCTATGTTATATTACACTGGCCAATATTTCTATATCACATATATATATATATATATATATATATATATATATATATATATATATATATATGTATGTATATACTCAATTTATTTACTTTCTGAATGTTTAATTTTTTAAATGAATTTAAAAGATATAATTGATTTTAATTTTTAAAATGAATTTTGAAGATATAATTGTGGCAATTCCTGTAGAACCTTTCTTAGGTTTCCTTTAATGAAAAATAAAATCAGAATAGAATAGAATAGGAGCCGTCATATATTCATACTAATTTATTAACCTTTACTTTCACTGATTACAATGTGTTGCTCAAAATAGGCTAACATCGAGTAGGACTTGGGACCCTGCCCTTAATCAAATCCTAATGAATCTTCCTTTATGAGCGACACAACTAACAAGAATGCAAATAATGTTAGGGCGTTCGCTGCATGTGTATCCGACGCGCCGCTCTTCTGGTCGGCGGGACCGGTGAGAAATCAGCAAACCACCACAGTCCTTGCAAGAAGAGATGTGGTGAAGATTGCTGGCCAGAATGTCCACACATTTCGCGAGGAAGGAACGCAGTCTCTCACCGTCACGACTCTGTATAAGTATTTGTGTCACCTGTCTTTCAGAGGGGTCCGCCTCCCGATTAGCGGGCATAGAATAATGAAAGTGCCAGAGTCTGACTGCGCCTACCACCTTTACCATAGTGGAGTGGAGGATAACAGCAGGCTGTATGGAGTGGCGATTGCTCTCAGTCCATTAGCACGGGCAGCACTGCTCGCTTGGGAACCAGTCTCCCACAGGCTGGCCATGGTCCGTCTCAAAGGCGCTGTTATAAACGTCACCGTCATCACCGTCTACGCGCCGACACTGAATGCAGCGGAGAAGGACAAGAACATAATCTACTGCGTCCTCCAAGCAGTTGTAGATCGTACCCCTTCCACTGTTCTTCTAGTGGTGGTATGGGATTGGAACGCTCGCACAGGACCGGCGAATAAAGACACCAGACATGTTCTAGGTCGATTCGGCCTCGGAACACTGTGTGACAATGGCGACCGGCTAGTCAACTTTGCAGTCGCTAATCGTATTGTGGTGTCTAACACTTGCTGCACGGGATGTGGGTATGACCATCAATGCCTCGAAGACCAAAGTTATGCCGTCAATGGTTGATCCAGTCAACTGGCAGCTACTGACGCTGGACGGAGATCAATCTGGAGGACGTGGAGTCTTTCGTCTATCTCTGTTCAACCATTATACCATCCGGGCTGCTGCTGAGTTTGAACGGCGTATAGGAGCTGCAAGATCCGAATTCGTGCGTCTCAAGTGGTCACTATGGGGGCGACGGGAGATTTCCACGGACACGAAGGGGCGCAACTATCAGGCTATTGTTCGGACCATCCTTCTCTATGGCTGCGAAACGTGGCCACTTAGAGCGGTTGACCTACGGAGGCTTGAACTGTTCGACAACGATTTTTGCTGCATTTTACGATGCCGCCGAATTGATCGTGTACCCACAGCCACTCTGCGTCGTCGCCTGAGTATCCGTCCTCTTCCACCCGTCTTGCTCCAGTGTTGTCTCCGATGGTTCGGGCACGCTGCTCGATGCCCGGAGAGAGAGCTCATCCGCGATGTACTTCTCCCTCCTTCTCTGGCTGGCGAAAACGTGTCGTTGGGCAGCTGAGGACGTGGGCTAGCACAATCAAGGATGACCTAGCAGTACTATCGTGTCCACAGGTAGTTGGTCTTCGACGATGGAATCGCGATTGGCTCGCCATTTCGTGTGACTCGGCTCAGGATCGGCAAGCGTGGGCAGCGATGGTCCGTGATGCTGTACTTGCTCGGGAGAAAGCCGGTTCAACTAGACCAGGGTGAAAACCGATACAAGTCAAAAAAGAAAGTCAAAATAACCACGAATGACGAAGAGAGATTGACACCGAATATATGCGTTAAGGTAGATTTAGTTATGGAACTGACATTATGATATTATTTATTAAATTTTAACTTTATATAATTTCAATTATTGTCTATCAATTTAAAATCGTACAGGTAATTAATATTCTCTGAGTTTTTTTTTCAAAAAATAGAGAAAAATGTAAATCACTAACCGACTCATTACGGTTTTTACGCAAAAATAACACTTTTCGCTGATTCGTGCGCCATAGGAAGCGATCAGCAAGGAAGAGACTTAAGTAAATGCAAATAGTTGTGAACAATTTTTTTCATGACACGAAGATGATAATTTATAACTTAAATACAATGGAAACAGGTACATTTGAACAATAATATTTGAAAATGTTGGCATCTTTATAATGATAAAATCACCAAGAGGGAATGCAAAATATAATAAATATAAACATACTTCTACAAACATTTCAGATTTGGGATTCGGACCTTTCATGTGAAGCAGAATTCTTTTTATGGCTAAATATATCAACTTTTCGGTAGGTTTGGACTAAAGTTGTCGGGGTGGTGTCTGTTAGGGTTTTTTCGGTTTAGAATAAACATAACCTCGAAGGGGATGGGAGATCATCTTGATAGTTCCTCTCGTAAAAATCACACAGACCTTTATCTATCTTTTCAATACAAGCAAAGCGATATACTGAGAGTAAAATAAAATAAAATGGCTTTTCCGAGAAGTGAGGATAATGAACATTAAATGAGCAGAGTTCATAACGACAGATGATGGTGATTTTGCGTTGTAGGTGACAGAGAAGCAAGAATTTGGAAGCGAGATGTTCGAGAAACGAAATTATTTTGCTACTTCAGCAGTAAAGCGATTAGTCATTCTAGTAGCACGTACTCCACGCTCCAAGGAAGAAAGCCAATTTTAAAAAATGCCATGATAATAGTATGCATAGTTTCATACGGCAGTTGCATTTATCTTATACTGGGAATTTATATCAAGAGTTTGTGGAGAAGCTTTTGATTAAAATTGACACAATTTTTTTTAATTATTTCAACCCCAAAACAAGGTAATAATTTAACCGTGACGGAAGGGTTTACTAAGTGTTAGCCAATATGAGAAGAAAACTAATATTAAGCAGATAAGACAATAAAAGAACAAGAATTAAGATAGAAATAATGATACACACGGCTATTAATTTATTTTAGGATTGTCATGGGTCCTTACGTATAACTACAGAATGAACTCGTCCTAACACTATGTATAGTACGCCTCTCAAGAGAGAGTGAGACGAATCGAGTCGAGCCGATAGTAGTTCACTCCAAACCAGACTGACAGTCATACTAACACCTTCTACGTCTCGTATTATTATTTCGTGTAATATACCTTCGATATTTTGTGTTCGTGTTGTTCTTCCTTGGTCCTAACCTGGACTATAACAAAGATCAAATTTGTCTGAGAGGCAAAAAGCTGAAAGTGGGCGTCATAAACGCCATAACTGTTAACATAAAAGTTATGGTTAAATTTATCAATTTCTATTGTAAATTGATGAGAAATTTCCGCAAATCTAATACTGCGATTAGATACGTAATGTCAAGGTATCATGTGTAAGTTCATTAGAACAATTACCATGAAATATAGAAAAGGCACAGAGTAGCTCTGTAAATGCGTTTGGAATGTGACTGAAGACGAGATGCCATTAACATTGCAGATTATCTCTAAGAATCTCTAAATATGTAGCAAGAACGGCAGACCTGATTTGGCAGAATATTCAAATCAATGACGAACGTGTAAAACCTATATAGCAATATAACCTGATAAAATTGGTTTGCATTTATGCCAAGTGATTTTGTTTTGTTTTCTTGAGATAGACAGAGAAATACATATAGATAGAGAGAGTGAAGTAGATAAAGATAGATATATAGCGAGTTATAGAAAACTGAGCAAAGGCTGAACGAAGAATTCAAAAATAAATATATATGTTTAAATTTGAGGAAAAGAGGAAATGACAAAAGAAATATTACAATGTTTAATTCAATAAAAATACTGAATGAAGGAGAATGAATTATTGTTGAAATGACGTAGTAAGAATTAATGATGGAAACCTTGAATTTAGAAAGAATAATGAATCTAAATAAATGACATGTAAATGGTGTAAGGTCACAAATACATGAAAAGAAAAGAGGAATATGGCGAAACATATTACGAACAATTGATAGAATTGAAATAATAAGTAAACGGCGAATATGAGAAAAAAGAAATGGTAACGTCCTACAAAATTAATGTTGAATACAATTAATAAAGAACGTGTACACTTGAATATATAAAATAGAAATAAAATCGGAATGAAATATTTAAAAGCAAATCCTTGGGAAAACTTTATAACGTGAACTACAATGGAAATCTCAGATGAAATTGAAATATTCAGCGCAACGTTGAAGTCTGAGTGTAATTTCACCGGAATCTAAATGATAGAATTAAAGTATTAAGTGTAAGAAATTTAACGGATTCAGAAAGCTGATTTCGAATATTAACAATATTTATCTAAACGTCATTTGGCGTCATTTTTCTTTTCTCAACATTATTTTTCGGAAATAATTTAATTCCATTTAAAAGCTTTTACTCCTGCTCGAAATCTGATGAGCAGTACGAACCGGGCCATAAACGAACCTATCTACTCTTATTGTGGAGAATAAAAAATAAGATAAATAATTAGCGAATAAAATTTCAGATTTCAAGCGGAGTATTAGAAATATAGATTTGAACTCGGAAGGAATGAGAATCGAACGACACACGAAGCCACTGACTTCTTCTGGGGACGGGAAAAATAATTAGTGAATAAATTTTTGGCATTCAAGTAGAGGCGCCAGATGCACAGAACCGAAGCAGACAGGAGAAAGAAAATGTAATTAAATAGTAACTAAAATGAGAGAGATTGACACCGAATATATGCGTTAAGGTAGATTTAGTTATGGAACTGACATTATGATATTATTTATTAAATTTTAACTTTGTATAATTTCAATTATTGTCTATAAATTTAAAATCGTACAGGTAATTAATATTATCTGAGTTTTTTTTCAAAAAATAGAGAAAAATGTAAATCACTAACCGACTCATTACGGTTTTTACGCAAAAATAACACTTTTCGCTGATTCGTGCGCCATAGGAAGCGATCAGCAAGGAAGAGACTTAAGTAAATGCAAATAGTTGTGAACAATTTTTTTCATGACACGAAGATGATAATTTATAACTTAAATACAATGGAAACAGGTACATTTGAACAATAATATTTGAAAATGTTGGCATCTTTATAATGATAAAATCACCAAGAGGGAATGCAAAATATAATAAATATAAACATACTTCTACAAACATTTCAGATTTGGGATTCGGACCTTTCATGTGAAGCAGAATTCTTTTTATGGCTAAATATATCAACTTTTCGGTAGGTTTGGACTAAAGTTGTCGGGGTGGTGTCTGTTAGGGTTTTTTCGGTTTAGAATAAACATAACCTCGAAGGGGATGGGAGATCATCTGATAAGATTTAATATATTACTACAAGTTAGTATACAGGAAGATATTTGATAGAAATTCATATTGTTTCATTGAAGGCATTTTTTTGTGTTTGGGCACATCTGAACTTTGGATATCGTGTATCAATTAATGAGTGTTTAAGCAGATATTTTTAATAAGTTGTATCTTTCATGGTAAAATACTAACAAGTTAATCTTAATTCATAAAACTGCACTTTGCTATTAAAGGATTTTTCTTTGCAGAAATGTTTATATTTTAACCGAACCATTTTGGCTTTTCATAATATTATAAATATTTGTTCTAGACACATATTCTTATTGCTGATAATGGAAATTGAATTTTGCAATATCGTCATGTATAATCAGGATAAAATAATACATTCTGCAGACAAATTCTGAAAGCCAATGTATAAGCATCTTATTCCTCTTATTCTGTTCATTTTTTTGTCACGATAGAAATTTCTTTAATACTTGTATTTATTACTTAACGGAACATTCATTCAATAGCTGAAAATAATCACGTGTAAAAATAATGCACCATTCCACGAAAACGCAAAACAGGCACATGGGAAATTTCGGAAATTAAAACGAACCAATTTGGTAATGAAAGTTTTCAACGCCCGAGGTATTCAAAACTTTTGTAAAATATAAAAGCAGTATTTTTAACACAAGATTTCAAAAGTATTTCACAATGAAAATAAATATCACGATATTGAGATTATATAAGGTTC